GAGAGAGAGAGAGAGAGAGAGAGAGAGAGAGAGAGAGAGAGAGAGAGAGTGAGTGGGAGGCAGTGAAAGATTAGAAATATAGAGAGGAGGTGGAGGGGGAGAGGAGACATGAGCCAAGAAGAGAGAAAAAATAGACTGAGAGAAGAAGGAACTCTGATTGGGATGATGGAGGGAGTGTGGTGGAGGGTGGTGGAGGAGAGAGATGGAAGGTGGTGGAGAGAGAGTGGTGGGGAGAAAGTGGTGGAGGAGAGAGATGGAGGGTGGTGGAGAGAGAGAGATGGAGAGAGAGATGGAGAGAGAGATGGAGGGAGGGTGGTGGAGAGTGATGGAGGAGGGTGATGGGGAGAGAGTGGTGGAGGGAGAGTGATGGAGAGAGAGATGGAGGGTGGTGGAGGAGAGAGATGGAGGGTGGTGGAGAGAGAGTGGTGGGGAGAGAGTGGTGGAGGAGAGAGATGGAGGGTGGTGGAGGAGAGAGATGGAGGGTGGTGGAGAGAGTGGTAGAGAGAGAGATGGAGGGAGGGTGGTGGAGGAGAGAGATGGAGGGAGTGTGGTGGGGAGAGTGATGGAGAGAGTGGTGGAGGGTGGTGGAGGAGAGATGGAGGGAGAGTGGTGGGGAGAGAGTGGTGGAGGAGAGAGATGGAGGGTGGTGGGGAGAGAGTGGTGGAGGAGAGAGATGGAGGGTGGTGGGGAGAGTGGTGGAGGAGAGAGATGGAGGGTGGTGGAGGAGAGAGATGGAGGGTGGTGGAGGAGAGAGATGGAGGGTGGTGGAGAGAGAGTGGTGGAGAGAGAGAGAGATGGAGGAGGGTGATGGAGGGTGGTGGAGGAGAGAGATGGAGGAGGGTGGTGGAGGAGGGTGATGGTGCATCAAGGTGAACCAGTAGAGAGATATTTTATTCGGGTCGTCAGGTTCACTGCAGCTTTATGAATGAAGACATTTGTTTTGATTTAACTGCAATAAACAGAACAGAATGAGGCTGAATGATGCAGATTTGTAAAAAGTCTGAATTTATTTTTTGTTCTCTTCAAGACGACGAGCAAATAGCTTTTAAAATGCTTGTTGTCTGAATGGAGTCTGGATGGGTCAGTGCTATGCTATGCTAAGCTAACATAACTCCATCAACACTCAACATAACATCTCACAGTCAGTAATGGTTGTTTGGCTGATTGTTCCAGAGATCGTCCATCACTCAATCCTCTCTCTCTCTCTCTCTCTCTCTCTCTCTCTCTCTCTCTTCGTCTCTTCTATCTCCTCCTCAGGGCACGGTCAACAATCAAACAGGTATTTTCCCACAATCCTTTGTGAAGATCATCAAGCCCCTCCCAGAGAGTGACTCAGAAGGTGAGGGTGGAGGCCCCTCCTACAGCTGTCTGCGCTGCTTCCTGCTCACCCCCTCTGGAGTCCACACCAGGTCTGTTTGGGAGTCTTTACTGATACGGGTTTATAACGTTTGTTAGGAAAAATAAAAGTATTGTTTTGAGGAACAAGTGTTTAGAGTTTCATCTTCTGATGCTGCAGGAAATACGGTCTGTGGTCGTTACAAGAAGTACGATATAGACTTATTCTGCCATATACGAACATGACCTCCATCATCTCTAGGTTTTACATCGTATGATAGTTGGTCAGGTTAGAGGCTATGATTCACACATCTTCCTCACAGGCAGTGTTTTGGTTTTTTTTGTAGAAAGAATGAAATGAAAATCTTTAAGTAAAGAAGTAAAGTCTGAACTCCTCCGTACGGTTCACGTTGCACTACTAAAGGTAACATGACGTGTGATATCTTGTTTATGGAATAAGAAGTGCAACTGTGCGAAGGTTGTGGGTGTTCTTTAAACCTTTATCCGTGGACGCAAACCTTTTTATTTTGTGTTAAGTTTATTGTTTCATATCAGATAATTACATCTTTAGGAGTGATGATCTAGTTAGGTTGAATTGTGCTTTAAAGAGCTGATTTTGTGTTTGTTCATCCAGAGATGTGTGTGTTCAAGAGGACCTCACTATCCAGCCGACGTACAAGGACCTTCTGTCTCGCATGAGGTGGGTGTTTGCCAAACTCTGCTTTACGTAACTCGCTACCGCTGTCCTTGTATTGGGCAGCGATGGAGCCGTGTTTAGGGAGGAACAGAGGATCTGATCTGTTCTCATTTAACCCATGCAGGAAGCAGTGGTTGAGAGAAACGTGAGGATGAGTTCTGTGGGTGTTGAGAGTCGACTGTATGATTGTATGCGGCCTCACACCTGTCAGTGAACTACTGACGGTGGAACATGGAAGTATCTGATGAACGCTCGGGGCGTGAGATTGTAGCATGAAACCGTTGGATCATAATCACATCAAGGATCTTACCTCAGCCTCTTCCTACTAGAATCACATCAATCATAACTATTCATCTCTAAAGCAGGTGAACACGCTTCATTGAGAACATTTTCATAAAGTAAAGCGTCAGAGAAGGTGATCTATATCAGTAGTTACAGTGTTTTGCTCGTGAGTGTTAGCAGAGCAGAGTGTTTCTCCTGGGCGTGGACTGATGAACGTTTTGCGAGCCCTCTCCGCTCCGTCTGTATTCTGTTTTTATTGTTCATTCCAAATGATGAAGTCCGTTAATCTCTGAGGGACGGCGTCTGTTAACTGCTCAGCAAACCTGCACATTAGCGAGTCGCCCGTCATCACCGTTTGTCCTCGAGACCTCCGACTCCCCCCAACCTGACGCATACGCCGTCTTCCTCTCTCTCCGTCTCCCTCCGTCTCTCATTATCTGGTCATTTAGATAGGCGAGCGCTACAATGATTAGCCCCCCCCCATTCATAATCAGTTCATTTCATCCGCTTATCTGCTCATTATTGTTCTTTTGCCGTTCAGGCCTATCGAGCCCTGGAGAAGGATGGATGAGACCCTGGTCTTGAGTTTTTAATATGGCTGAGCACTGCAAAGAGGGAGGAGGGGGGAGTGAAGGGAGCGGGGGAGGAGAGGGTGGAGGTATGAGGAGGTGGTGAGTAGGAGGAGAGAGGAGAGAGGATTCAGTCGTCTGAACAAGAATGAGGAAGAATAAAAGAAATGGTGATGAACCGTAGAAAAGGTTGAAATGAAAACGAGTGTAAATGGAACAGAAGCTGTGAATTCAATCACATGAACATTTTGATTATTGCAGATTTGGTTTCTTGTGTGATCTCAAAGGATCAGTGTGTAGGGGGATCTATCAGCAGCAGTGTTATATAATATAATAATATATAATGTTTTCATTATTGTATAATCACCTGAGCCTAAGAATGAGACCTTCCTATCTACACAGGGAGCACGTCTGCTTCATGGTCTGTGTGACTCTAAATGGACCATAATGTACTAAATGAACATCATGTTGTATTGAAGAAGACTTGAAACTAGAGATTGAGACCATAAACTCATGTTTACAATGTTTACTGAGGTAATAAATCAAGAGAGAAGTAGAGTCATTTTCTCATAGACTTCTATACAACCAGAGGAGTCGCCCCCTGGTGGACACTAGAGAGAATGCAGCTCTAACACATGAAGCTTTGACTTCACTTTTCAGAGTCGGAGGTTGTTTTTTGCCCAGAACAAACCAAAACCTGTCTATAGAGCAGGGGTGTCAAACATACGGCCCGAGGGTCCAATCCTGCCCACTGGATGACCTTCTGCTGGCAAATCATCAATTCCAAAATGCACTGCTATTCCTACTCGTCCACTATTTGTCGCATGGTCCTAATAAGAGTAGCTACGCTGGATACGTTGTTCTAGATCCCACATGCTAACGGATGCTAATGGTACTTACAGGCTACGTTTGTTAAGCGTAGGCTCCTCTTCATGCAGGAGCTGCTGGGGGAAAGTGTCGGGTTACTGTTTCTACAAAGAAGGAAATGGAAAGGTTAGGTTTAGGGAACAGAACTACTTGATAAGGTTGAGTTAAAAACAAAATACAAAATCACAACCGAAGTACTTTGAGTAAAACACACCGAGCACACTTCAGCCGGCGAGTTTATTGTGTTCACAGCACCTTTCAGTGCTCAAAGACTTGCATTTAGACAACTTGCAAAGACAACCAAGAACAAAGAAGATGAATTTAATTGTTGTTTTTAGTTGTAGCAAATCATCATCATCTGTTTTGTAAAAGGATTGTTTGTTGATTCTGAACATTTTCAGAAAGTACTTTTACTTCGTTACGCTAAAGAAAGGGAGAACGTGAAGGTGTTGTTATCTAGCGGTGTTACTGGTCCGGCCCGGCTAACGTTAGCCGCCGTTTGACTTTCGTTGCTCCTAAAGTAGTGTTATTATGGTAAAGATGGCCTAAGAGCTAGAGAAACGATGTTATCACGATTTTTTGCACTTCACGTTAATGCAGTTTTTGAAAGGGAGGAGCCAACAGAGGGGTATTCAGTTGTTTGCAGTCTGCTACCCCACCACTAGATGCCACTAGATCCTACAGACCGTCCCTTTTACATTAGGGACGGTATCGGTGTTGTATCAGCTGAGAGAGACTTCAGAAATGCTGCTGGTTATTTATGTATAGTGTGTAATTGTACACATTGTGACCATACTACTGCGAAAAAGAGACTTTTTTATATGTTGTGTATCTCTGCGGGACTCGGGTTGAAAATGCATGAAGATGTGTGTCTGTGCTGGTGACAGGAAGTTAAATCCTGCACACAAACATTTCTGTCTATGCAAAACAAACAGAGAAGTGAATATGGAGGAGCTGGTAACTTCATATCTGCACGTATTTCTCTTTTCATTTCCTTCGCTCCACCACGTGTTTTCTTGGTAATAATTCTTTCAGCAAATTTTTAATTAAAATGTAATGTATCAACAAACACCACGTGGGTCATTTCCTCCGCCTGATGAATGGTGCAGGCTCTTCTTCATTTATTGTCTTCATTAAATATCTTTTATTGCTTTTAACATTGAAGTAAACAAACCACTTAACATGCAAGAAACCTGAAAGTGTGTTTACTCTCACAGAACCGTCCCCAAGAGACAATATCAAGAAAGTACAAATCCTATCAGAATAAGAAAGTCAGATGAAGTAGAATGAAGTTATTGTGGTGCAGTTTGTCTTCTGTCTTCATATCTTTACCTTTGTAAAGATATTTACATCTGTTGAAAGCTACATTCAGTTGGTCTCGTGTGCTTTTTTATATTTTGCAAATACAGAAGTTAAAACAGCTTCATTGTTAACGTTGTTGGTTCTTCATTGAACGTAACACAAAGCAGCTTGAACCTCCTTTTGTGTCATTTGTTTGAGATATTTTGGGGATTCTTCCTCCTCCTGGTTTGCAGACTGCTGTGACGTGTTCTAGTCGAATGAAAGTAGGAAGTGAAACTTTAAAGTCTTCCCGTCCGCGTGTCTCCCTTCAGGAACGTCTTCAAGGTGGACGACATCGCCGTGAACTACCGCGACCCCGAGGGCGACCTCGTCCGCATCCTGGACGACGAGGACGTCCAGCTGATGATCAGAGAGAGCCGAGGTCAGCGGGGAACGGTCCAGAGACCTGTCAATCAGTTTCCATGGGAACTGTACGTGACCTCGGCCTCCAACCTCTCCGTGTACAACGCCGGGGCCTGAGAAAGCGGAGGTCAACGGGAGAACTCACCATGTTTAGAATTCTCGTCTCAGAACTTGAACCAAGTCAATACTGTTAGCTGGTGTCTTCTGTGCGGTCAACTCACTTCACTTTGAGAAGAGGTTAATAAACTCATTGAATACAAGTTTTACATTTTGCACGCTTTATTTTTGTCTTGTTGGAATCGGAACAAAGAATCCTTTGAGCTAAAGATCAACTCTCAGAGAGACGGAAGGATTGAATAGAGAGAAACATGAACGGTAGTAAACGGAGAAAGATAAAATAATGTCCTGATCACGTTTTAATTTAGACACGAATCCAAATGTTTGTTCATTTAAAAGATCCTTTTGTTTCATTTAGTGTGAAACCGCTCAGCAAACTACATCCATCTCAAACAACAGCACTGCCGTTAGCTTGGCTTGCTAGCTAGCTAGCTAGCTCAGCTTTGTTTCAGATGTGACGTCATCGCGTGAGACTCGGTGTGACAGCGTCCTGCTGCAGAGCACACGGGCGTCGTAGCATCTCTTTCTGTTTTAAATCTAAACCGACATCTTTAAACATAATTGGTCAAAGTGCTTCTCTCCAGAGAACTCTGTTCACCTTTCAAGACTCCAACAAACGGAAACAAACATTTACATTTGAGCCGCCTTGATCTGATGCTCCAGAGGAATCTATGTCAGACGCTCTGGAGCTAAAAACATAGCTGTTGTTTGCACCGATCAATTTAGAGATTTTCCAATATTAATCTTCCATAACTCGTCTTCTTTCAGACTAGAGGAGATAAAACGTTTCTTTCACTACTTTGTCTGTTTATGTCT